GGTGAGCAGGGAGTGCAGGGGGTTAAGCTGCTTCAAGCGGCTCATTTCCAAGCCCTGCTTTTTCCACCGTGTCCTATTGGCCTTCCTTCCTCCCCACCAAGAGCCGGGCTCCTCCAAGCTCCCTTTCCTGCCAAGCGATCATATTCACCTTCACCAGCTCGCTCCGGCATCTCGGGATGACGAAGGCTCAGAATCCAACACGCGGACAGGAAACGACTTTGATATCGGAACCAGCTCCTGGGACGGCGCTGGAATCCCACATCCCTCGTGCTGGACAAAGCCTGAGCCCCCCTCTCCGTCAGTGATGCCCCTCCATCACTCACAGGGCACAGACTGGGTTGGGGTGAAGGGAGCTTAAAGCTGCTCCGGCTCCAACCACGGGCAGGGCAGGGACCCCTTCCCCTGGAGCAGGGTGCTGCAAGCCCCTGTGTCCAACCTGGCCTTGAACACTGCCAGGGATGGAGCATCCCAAACCTCTCCCTTCAACCCCTTCCATGGGGAAGAACTCCCCAAGCTCCCATCAACTCTTCCCTCTTCCTCCTCCCATCCCTGCCTCCCTCATCCCAACCCCTCTCCAGGCTCCCTGCAGCCCCTTCAGGCACTGGAGCTGCTCTCAGCTCTCCCCTCCCCGCAGCAGAGGGACAGGATCCCCCCAGCATTCCCTGAAGCTGGGTCCTGGGGAGCTTTCCCCCTGCCCCGGCACCCCAAGCCCTGCTCCTCGGGCTCCAGCCTGTACCCCCCCATTCTCCCCATTCTCCGGGGGTTTTCCACACACCGGGAGACCAAGCAGGGATCTGAAGCCCAGCACATGTGGGAGCGGTGACGCAGGAGCTCTGCTCCCTCCCTGAGGATGCCGGTGCTGCTGTGACCCCAAGCATCACCAGCGGTGCAAGCCACGAGGACCAGCAGGAAGTCCCTGACCAGCTCCACCACGCAAAGCCCAAGGCCAAGGTGTCCACGTCCATCAGGAGGAGGGAGCATCCGGAGAGGGCCTGGGGGGGTCTCCCTCATCTGGGATGTGGGGGGTGCGGGACAGGGGGGATCCCACTTCTGGGATGTGCTGCTGAAGAGCTGCTGGTTCCCCTGACCCTCCAGCTTGGCACGTTGGCTTTTACACAGCAGGACCTGGAGGCTCTTGCACCCTGATGCTTCCCCGTTGGAATGGCCTTGCTGCCCCAGACGGGAGCCTGCACCAGCAACGGGGAGGCTCCTCCAGCCCCACATCCACGGATGGAGCCCAGCACGGTCTGGTTCGTGTCCCTGGTGCTGCGTGCAATCCAGATGCTGCTGGAGGAAGCGCGGCTGTTTCTGGCTCCTTCACCCCCTTCCCTGGGAGGCAAGCGGCTCCTTCAGCATTCCCGGTGTCATGGCACAGGCTCCGCAGGGATCAGCCCGTCCAGGAGCCGGGAGGTGGGAAGAGCCAGAGGAGAAGAGCCAGGTCTGGCAGCGGGAGGGAGCCCAAAGCCGCAAAGGCAGCGGGAGCATCGCTGCCATGGGGGGATCCGCATGGAGAGCAGGGAGCTGCTGCGCAGAGACCCCAGGGGACACGGGAAGTGCCAGCAGGGAACGGTGCCGCCGGCACCGGAGCAGCCACGGCGCGAGCCGGGATCAGCCACAACCAACGTCCCCCAGCAGGTCAGGGGCTAACTGCATCCTAACGCACGGCCTCACTAGGACACTGCCCAGAGCCCAGCACCGGCACCCCCAGCAGGGCCTGAGAGCAGCTCCAGAGCCTGAAGGGGCTGCAGGGAGCCTGGAGAGGGGTTGGGATGAGGGAGGCAGGGATGGGAGGAGGAGGAAGAGGGAAGAGTTGATGGGAGCTTGGGGAGTTCTTCCCCATGGCAGGGGTCGAAGGGAGAGGTTTGGGATGCTCCATCCCTGGCAGTGCTCAAGGGCAGCTTGGACACAGGGGCTCGGAGCACCCTGCTCCAGGGGAAGGGGATGGGCTTGGAGCTGGAGGAGCTTTCAGCTCCCTTCATCCCAACCCGTTCCATGAGCCTAAGGCAGAGCCCACCACGGCTCCGCAGCAGACGGGGGCACCGGTGGCTTGGCGTGGGTCAGGACTTGGCCTTTCCTCGCCGCTGGGAGGTGACAACGGAGCTGCCAAACGCTGCTAAAGCCCTTCCAGGGCGCTGCTGCTTTCCCTGGTGCCTCTCGGGGCTCCTCCAGCCTTCGTTTTCCTCCCCCAGCGCTAAGAATAGCCTGGAGCAAAGCCGAGGCTGGGAACTCCCGGAGGATGGGGCTGGAGGTGAGCCCAGAGCCTCCTCCCTGCTGCCAAGCCCAGCTCCAGAGCAGGCTCCGGCTGCTGTGCTGCTGCTGGAGCAGCCCTGAGGGCTCCCTGCAGCTCCTCCAAGCCCGCAGAGCCCGAGGGCTCCAAGGCACATCCCGCAGGACCGCTTGCTGCAGGGCTGTGCCGTGGGCACACCGCGGCCACCAGGACCTGGTGAAGGTGGATGGAGCCACACAGGGCACAGGGAATGGCTGGAAGCATCCCCTGCACCCCGCAGGGAGCTGAGGACCTGCAGACATGGGGGGGGGGGATGCATTCCCTGAGCCCATCACGCCGTGGGTGCAGCCCCATGCGACACGGAGGGGACCAGGGCTCACCTAATGGGGGCTCTGCTGGAGGACACCCCCCTGGCCTGGCACAGGGGCACTGCTGGGAACATCCAGGAGCTGACGGCGCTCCGGAGGTCACACGGGGCTGGTGCGCCCAGGAGCATGGAATGGGCTGGGATGGAAGGGACCTTGCAGCCCCTCCAGTCCCAAGGCACTGGAACGGGTTGCTCAGAGAAGCTGGGGCTGCCCCATCCCTGGCAGTGCTCAAGGCCAGGTTGGACACGGGGGCTTGGAGCACCCTGCTCCGGTGGAAGGGGTCCCTGCCCCGCCAGGGGTTGGAGCTGGAGGAGCTTTAAGGTCCCTTCAGACCCAAACCATTCCAGGATTCCATAGGACCGAGACACACTGCAGACACAGAGTGTGCCTGCATCCCGCTTCCCTCCTCATCCTCTCTGGAAGCAGAGCTGTGACCCACAGCAGGGCTCAGGCTGTCACCCACAGCTGTGACCCACAGCAGGGCTCAGGCTGTCACCCTCAGGTGTCACCCACAACTGTCACACACAGCAGGGCTCAGGCTGTCACCCTCAGGTGTCACCCACAACTGTCACACACAGCAGGGCTCAGGCTGTCACCCTCAGGTGTCACCCACAGCTGTCACCCACAGCAGGGCTCAGGCTGTCACCCTCAGGTGTCACCCACAACTGTCACACACAGCAGGGCTCAGGCTGTCACCCTCAGGTGTCACCCACAACTGTCACACACAGCAGGGCTCAGGCTGTCACCCTCAGGTGTCACCCACAGCTGTCACCCACAGCAGGGTTCAGGCTGTCACCCTCAGGTGTCACCCACAGCTGTCACCCACAGCAGGCCCAGGCTGTCACCGTCAGGTGTCACCCACAGCAGGGTTCAGGCTGTCATCCTCAGGTGTCACCCACAGCTGTCACCCACAGCAGGGTTCAGGCTGTCACCCTCAGGTGTCACCCACAGCTGTCACCCACAGCAGGGTTCAGGCTGTCACCCTCAGGTGTCACCCACAGCAGGGTTCAGGCTGTCACCCTCAGGTGTCACCCACAGCTGTCACCCACAGCAGGGCTCAGGCTGTCACCCACAGGTGTCACCCTCAGGTGTCACCCACAGCAGGGTTCAGGCTGTCACCCTCAGGTGTCACCCACAACTGTCACCCACAGCAGGGCTCAGGCTGTCACCCACAGCAGGGTTCAGGCTGTCACCCTCAGGTGTCACCCACAGCAGCCACCCACAGCAGGCCCAGGCTGTCACCCTCAGGTGTCACCCACAACTGTCACCCACAGCAGCCACCCACAGCAGTGCTCAGGCTGTCACCCTCAGGTGTCACCCACAGCTGTCACCCACAGCAGCCACCCACAGCAGTGCTCAGGCTGTCACCCTCAGGTGTCACCCACAACTGTCACCCACAGCAGCCACCCACAGCAGTGCTCAGGCTGTCACCCTCAGGTGTCACCCACAACTGTCACCCACAGCAGGGTTCAGGCTGTCACCCACAGCTGTCACCCACAGCACTCACCCACAGGTGTCACCCACAGCTGTCACCCTCAGGTGTCACCCACAACTGTCACCCACAGCAGGGTTCAGGCTGTCACCCTCAGGTGTCACCCACAGCACTCACCCACAGCACTCACCCTCAGGTGTCACCCACAACTGTCACCCACAGCAGGGCTCAGGCTGTCACCCACAGCTGTCACCCACAGCTGTCACCCACAGCAGGGCTCAGGCTGTCACCCACAGGTGTCACCCACAGCTGTCACCCACAGCAGGGCTCAGGCTGTCACCCACAGGTGTCACCCACAGGTGTCACCCACAGCAGGGCTCAGGCTGTCACCCACAGGTGTCACCCCCAGCTGTCACCCACAGCAGGGTTCAGGCTGTCACCCACAGGTGTCACCCACAGCAGGGTTCAGGCTGTCACCCTCAGGTGTCACCCACAGCACTCACACACAGCACTCACCCTCAGGTGTCACCCCCAGCTGTCACCCACAGCAGGGTTCAGGCTGTCACCCACAGGTGTCACCCACAGCAGGGTTCAGGCTGTCACCCTCAGGTGTCACCCACAGCACTCACACACAGCACTCACCCTCAGGTGTCACCCACAGCTGTCACCCACAGCAGGGTTCAGGCTGTCACCCTCAGGTGTCACCCTCAGCTGTCACCCACAGCAGGGCTCAGGCTGTTACCCTCAGGTGTCACCCACAGCACTCACACACAGCACTCACCCTCAGGTGTCACCCACAGCTGTCACCCACAGCAGGGTTCAGGCTGTCACCCACAGCTGTCACCCACAACTGTCACCCACAGCAGGGTTCAGGCTGTCACCCACATGCTCTGTGCCCATCTCTCCCTCCCCATCCCCAGCACCCGCTGCTCTGGAGCCACCCCAGCCCCGTGGGGCCGCCCCACGCCGGTACCTGCATGGCTGGAGGCTGCGGGGCGCGGGGCCCTGGCTGCTGCAGCTCCTGCGCTCGCGGCCCTGCAGGCTCTTGGGCAGCTGCACCCCCAGGGCGCAGCTGAGGCGCAGCAGGAGGGTGACGAAGAGGGGGGCATAGAGCCCCTGCACGGCCGGGCCGGCCTCCGGAGCACACAGCAGCTCATAGAGAGCACACGTGGCCTGTGGGGAGAGACGGGAGTGGGGCAGGAGGGTGAGCGGGGGGAACCGAGGGGTCTGGGATGCACCGGGAGCACCAGGAGTGGGGCAGGAGGGTGAGTGGGGGAACCGAGGGGTCTGGGATGCACTGGGAGTGGGGCAGGAGGGTGAGCGGGGGGGACCGAGGGGTCTGGGATGCACTGGGAGCACTGGGAGCAGCAAAGAGAAGCAAAGGGGTGGAGGGATGGAAGAGGGGGAATGGATTCATCCTGGAGGGATGGGAGAGGGAATGGATTCATCCTGGAGGGATGGGAGAGGGAATGGATTTAACCTGGAGGGATGGGAGAGGGAATGGATTCATCCTGGAGGGATGGGAGAGGGGGAATGGATTCATCCTGGAGGAATGGGAGGGGGAATGGATTCAACCTGGAAGGATGGGAGGGGGAATGGATTTAACCTGGAGGGATGGGAGGGGGAATGGATTCATCCTGGAGGGATGGGAGAGGGAATGGATTTAACCTGGAGGGATGGGAGAGGGAATGGATTCATCCTGGAGGGATGGGAGAGGGAATGGATTTAACCTGGAGGGATGGGAGAGGGAATGGATTTAACCTGGAGGGATGGGAGAGGGAATGGATTCATCCTGGAGGGATGGGAGAGGGAATGGATTCATCCTGGAGGGATGGGAGAGGGAATGGATTTAACCTGGAGGGATGGGAGGGGGAATGGATTCATCCTGGAGGGATGGGAGAGGGGGAATGGATTCATCCTGGAGGGATGGGAGGGGGAATGGATTCATCCTGGAGGGATGGGAGAGGGAATGGATTTAACCTGGAGGGATGGGAGGGGGAATGGATTTAACCTGGAGGGATGGGAGAGGGAATGGATTTAACCTGGAGGGATGGGGGGGGAATGGATTCATCCTGGAGGGATGGGAGGGGGAATGGATTCAACCTGGAAGGATGGGAGGGGGAATGGATTCATCCTGGAGGGATGGGAGAGGGGGAATGGATTTAACCTGGAGGGATGGGAGGGGGAATGGATTCATCCTGGAGGGATGGGAGGGGGAATGGATTCATCCTGGAGGGATGGGAGAGGGGGAATGGATTCATCCTGGAGGGATGGGAGAGGGAATGGATTTAACCTGGAGGGATGGGAGGGGGAATGGATTCATCCTGGAGGGATGGGAGAGGGAATGGATTCATCCTGGAGGGATGGGAGAGGGGGAATGGATTTAACCTGGAGGGATGGGAGGGGGAATGGATTCATCCTGGAGGGATGGGAGAGGGAATGGATTCATCCTGGAGGGATGGGAGAGGGGGAATGGATTCATCCTGGAGGGATGGGAATGGATTTAAGCTGGAGGGATGGGAATGGATTTAAGCTGGAGGGATGGGAATGGATTTAACCTGGAAGGGGGGAATGGATTCAAGCTGGAGGGATGGGAATGGATTTAAGCTGGAGGGATGGGAATGGATTCAAGCTGGAGGGATGGGAATGGATTCAAGCTGCCAGAGGGGAGGCTGAGATCGGATCTCGGGCAGTTCTTCCCCATGAGGGTGCTGGGGCACCGGGATGGGTTCAAGGAGAAGCCGTGCCTGCCCCATCCCCGGCAGTGCTCAAGGGCAGGTTGGACCCAGGGGCTCGGAGCACCCTGCCCCCGGGGAAGGGGTCCCTGCCCTGCCCTGCCCTGCCCGTGGTTGGAGCTGGAGCAGCTTTAAGCCCCCTTCCTCCCAGCTCACCGCAGGGTCCTCTCCACCCCAGCGCCCCCTCTCCACATCCCTCCGCAGCTCTTTGGGATGCTCGGCATCCCAGCGTTGGTTTCTGCCCCTGGGGGACGAGGAGCAGACGCAGGAGCCGCGTTTGGGGGGCAGGAGGACACCGCACACGCACGGGATGCCCCGGAGCCCCATTGAGGCGGGGTGAGGAGCGCAGGGGGGCAGGAGCAGCGCAGCTGGGGGGGGGGGGGGGGGCAGCCCCGTTGCACAGCAGCTGCAGCAGCAGGAAACCCGCACATCTGGCTCCAGCTCCGGGAGGCATCAAACGCAAAGCGCTCTGCCCCGGGGGACCAGCACCTGCGAGCCCTTTACGAGCCGGTGCCTGGGCTCTAATGGGCATTAGGCTCGGCACCCCCCTTCCCAAGCCTTGGCACAAGGGAAGCGCTGCAGGTGTGGGGAAGGGGACCCTCGATGGGGCTGCGACCGGGGTGGCCCCGCAGCGGGGTACTCACAGCCAGCGGCAGAGGGGTGGCGATGCGCTCCGAGCCGCTGCCCAGCAGGAAGCTCTTGCTCTCCTTGTAGGGCACATCCCTGTTCACCTTGTCCAGGAGCTGCTCCAGGATCTGCGAGGTGAGGCCGGGCTCGGTGGCCAGGGACCTCCACATGGTGCACGTGTGGCTGCAGGGCAGGGCAGGAGGGAGCTTTGGCACCGGGAGCGCTCCGGGCAAGCACCGGGTCCCTCCCTGAGCCAGGGAACACTCGGGTCCCATCGCCAACAGCACTGGAACAAGGGTGAGGAGCACATCACCAGGTCCCACAGCACAGGAACCGATTGGTTTGGGTTGAAGGGACCTTAAAGCCCCTCCAGCTCCAACCCCGGCCAGGGCAGGGACCCCTTCCCCTGGAGCAGGGTGCTCTGAGCCCCTGTGTCCAAGCTGCCCTTGAGCACTGCCAGGGATGGAGCATCCCAAACCTCTCCCTTCAACCCCTGCCATGGGGAAGAACTCCCCAAGATCCCATCAACTCTTCCCTCTTCCATGGAGGATGGAGCTGGCAGAGGGTCCGGTACCCCTGGGCTCGATTCACAGTCACGGACTCATGGAATGGGCTGGGATGAAGGGACCTTAAAGCCCCTCCAGCTCCAACCATGGGCAGGGACCCCTTCCCCTGGAGCAGGGTGCTCCGAGCCCCTGTGTCCAACCTGCCCTTGAGCACAGCCAGGGATGGGGCAGCCACAGTCGCTCAAGGCTCAGCTTGGGGCTGGCACCAACTCAGCAGCCTGGGGGGATGAGACCTGCCCCATAAACATAGAATCATAGAACGGAAAGGACCTGAAGCTCAGCCAGTTCCAACCCCGTGCCACGGGCAGGGACACCTCACCCTAAACCATGGCACCCAAGGCTCTGTCCAGCCTGGCCTTGAACACCGCCAGGGATGGAGCATTCCCAACCTCCCTGGGCAACCCATTCCAGTGCCTCAGCACCCTCACAGGAACGAATTTCCTCCTTAGATCCAATCTAAACTCCCCCTGTTTCAGTTTGAACCCGTTACCCCTTGTCCTGTCCCTGCAGTCCCCAATGAAGAGTCCCTCCCCAGCATCCCCATAACGCAGCCCTGAGCACCCCAAGCTCCCTGGAGCCAGCTTTGCTGCCCAGCAATCCCCCCCTGGAAGGCAGCTCCGGCTGCAGGCAGCTCCCCAGGGGAATTCCAGCTGGATCCCATTGCTGCTGCAAGGCACCAGGGCTTAACCACAGCCTGGGCCAAAGCCCAGGACCACGGGGGGGGGGGCTGGATGAGCCCCAGGAGCAGGGCAGGACCTGTCGAAGGGCAGCGCGCTGCCCAGCAGGCTGGACACCACCACGCTCTTGTGCTGGGAGGCCAGGATGTAGACGGTCTGCTGGGCAGCCTTGCGGACGTGCTCCTCATCCACCTCCTCCAGCTTGCTGTGGATGATGCTCATGATGTCGGGGACCTGGGCAAAGAAGGGACGGAGGCATCAGGCTGAGCACTGGGTCCAACTGGGGACCCCTCACTGCAACAGAGACCTTGAGGTGCTGGAGCGGGGCCGGAGAAGGGAATGGAGCTGGAGCAGGGCCTGGAGCACAGGGGTGATGGGGAAGGGCTGAGGGACCTGGGGGGGTCAGATGGGGAAGGGAAGGCTCAGGGGGGACCTGATGGCTCCCTCCAAGTGCCTGCCAGGAGGATGGAGCCAGGAGGGGCTGGGCTCTGCTCCCAAGGAACAAGGGATGGGACAAGAGGAACCGGCCTCAAGCTGCCCCAGGGCAGGGTTAGATGGAGCTGAGGAACAATTCCTGCCCCAGAGGGTGCTCAGGCATTGGAAGAGGCTGCCCGGGGCAGGGCTGCAGGCACCGGCCCTGGAGGTACCCAAAGGATGTGCAGATGGGGCACTCGAGGATGTGGGGCAGGGGTGGCCTTGGCAGGGCTGGGATCGGTTGGACTGGATGAGCTGAGAGGAGTTTCTCCCCCTTGGCTGATGCCATGACTGATCCTGGGGGATGCTGAGCACTCGGTGTCACTGCCAGGACAGTCCCTGCAGCCAGGACACGCGTGTCCCATCCCCTCAGGCAGGCAATGGGACTGGAGAGGACAAGGTGGGTGTGCAGAACATCGGGCAGAGCCCTTCTGGTCCCATGGCAGGGATGCTCCTGCTCACAGGGTATGAGCAGAACCGCTGCCAGCCCCCCCTGGAAGCCCAGGATCCTTCCCCACCTCGGGAGCTGAGGATGGAGGAGGATGGAGGAGGCTGCAGGGCTCCGAGGATGCAGCCAGGAGCATCCTGCCCCTGCCCCTGCCCCAGCCTCAGCACCGGGGCCGTGGGGGGGGCTCAGTGAGCCGGATGCAGGGAGATGCTGCGGGCCTGGCGGGGCTGTGGAGCACACCCTGAGCTGTGGCACAGGGAGCTGAGGAGCAGAGCACGGCCCATAGCACATCCCTGGGCTAAGAGCAGGGGCTGCCCCACCGGCTCCCAGGCTCAGCATCGGCTCCGGGTCCAGGACCTGCGCTGGATCCCACCCTGAGGGGAGTCATGGACCTGGGAGCGACCCCATGTAGGAGAGAGGGGAAGAGGCTGGAGAGGGAGCTCTGGTGCTCCAGCAGCCCCTGTGTCCAACCTGGCCTTGGGGCAAGTGTTCCTCTGGCCTGCGGCACCCACGGCTGATACAGGGCTTAACCACCTCCCTTCTCCCAGCAGGGATGGGCCCTTCCCTGTGCTGGATATCCCAATCCTGCCAAGGCCTGGAGCCTGCTGGAGCATCCCCGCCCGTAACAGAGGATCCCAGCAAACCAGCCCTGGAGCTGCCGGTGGGAATCTCTGGGGCTACAGCCCCACGGGAGGCCCCAAGCCCTGGCTGGGGGGAGGCCAAGAGCTCACCTTCTCCTGCAGGACTGCCCCGCGCTCCTTGAGCAGGGAGTTGATGATGACGGTGGCTGCACGGGAGCAGTTCCTGTCGGGATCCCCCAGCCCCTCGAAGAGGGCGAGCAGGAGGCTCAGGAGCTGCTCGGGAGGGATGCGCTTCCCCACCACCTGCAGGGAGCACAGATGAGCCCCATGGCTGCCATGGGGCAGTGAACACCGGCCCTCAGCGCAGAGCCCAAAGGGGAGCCCACGCTGGAGGCGATGCTCTCGTGGGACCCCACTCGGATCCTGGGGGTCCCCAGTGCAAGGGGGATGTGGGGCTGCTGCGAGGGCTGGGGCAGCTGTGCCCTGGAGCCAGGCTGGGAGAGCTGAGAGAGGGCTCCTGAAGGGGAGAGCTGAGAGCAGCTCCAGGGCCTGAAGGGGCTGCAGGGAGCCTGGAGAGGGGCTGGGACAGGGGAGGCAGGGATGGGAGGAGGAGGAACGGCTTTAAAGTCCCTTCCCACCCAAACCATCGTGGTTCTATGGTTCTGTAACGGATGGGAGCGAGGGTCAGGCCGCAAGGTGCCATCAGCACCACGCTGACGGAGCCATCAGCATCACCGGATAACCCGGAGCCCAGGTTGTGCATCAGACCTGGGAAGGGCCACGCTGAGCCCCAGCCCAGCCAGGCAGGAGTCCCTGCGTGGGGGACCTCGCTGTGGGGCACTGACCCCCGAAGAGGGCACCAGCAGCTTCCCCATGGAGGTGAGCACCCCCAGAGGCCCCACGTCCCCCGCAGGTCCCAGTGCAGAGCCCGCGGCCGCGCTGGGCTCACGCTGCACGTACCATGGCCAGGCTGTTGCAGGTGTGGAAGAGGACGGTGAAGTCGGGCTCCTCCAGGCCTCGCTTCAGAGCCTTCAGCCCCTCCACCATCTCATCCCTGTGGTCCCGGGCGAAACCTGCATCCGAGCGGGAGCGGTCACGGAGCGGCATCCCCTGTATCCTGCATCCCAGAGAGACCTCCCCACGCTGCAGAGCTGCGATGTCCCCCGAGCCGGCCCGGCTTACAGGGAGGAGCAGGAAACTCAAGGGCCAGAAGGGCTTGCGCTGCTCTGGAGAGCAGGACCACAGGATCCTAAAGGGCTTTTCCAGCCCAGGTGGTTCTGTGATTCCCATAGAAGTCCTGCCGCGGTGCTGAGGGTTCCAGTGCCTCCATCTGAAGAGGAGGACTGACCTCTCCCGGAGGCGGCAGGAACGCCAGGCTCGAACCGGCTCCTGCCTGGAGAGCATCAAGGGGCTCCGGGAAGCCTGGAGAGGGGCTTGGGACAGGGGATGCAGGGCCAGGCCAAGGGGAATGGCTCGAACCTGCCCGAGGGGAGGCTGAGCTGAGCTCTCAGGAAGCTCTTCCCTGGGAGGGTGCTGAGGCGCCGGCACAGGGTGCCCAGAGGAGCTGTGGCTGCCCCATCCCTGGCAGTGCTCAAGGGCAGGTTGGACACAGGGGCTCGGAGCACCCTGCTCCAGGGGAAGGGGATGGAGCTGGAGCAGCTTTCAGCTCCCTTCATCCCGAGCCATGCCACGGCTCTGTTACCACACGCGAGGAGGGGTGGGCTGCGCATCCCTGAGCCCCACTGCGCAGAGCGGGGCAGCAGCTCCCCCTGCTCACCCTCGTAGCAGAGCTGGATGTAGAGCAGGCAGTAGACGCAGTCCACGGCGTGCAGGCGGACGCTGGGCACCGCGTCCGAGCAGCGCGGAGAGAAGAGGGCGATGAGGACGCTGAGGTTGTAGAAGGGGGTCACGGTCTGGGGGGACAAAGAGGGGGGGAGCCTGAGCATGGGGAGCGGGGGCATGGGGGGGGGGGGTGCAGGATGAGGCCCCCGGGCTCACTCACGCTGACGTTGAGGGTGCTCAGGTAGAAGTCCAACAAGGCGGCGCTGATCTCCACTGCCCGCTGCCGCTCGTGGTCCTTGCTCGACTTGATCCAGGGGCCTAAATGCTGCACGGGGGAGCATCGTGTCCGTGAGGAGAGGCTGGGAACACTGGGGCTGAGGAGGCTGGAGAAGAGAAGGCTGCAGGGAGACCTCAGAGCAGCTCCCAGTGCGTGAAGGGGGCTATAGGGATGCTGGGGAGGGACTCTTCATTGGGGACTGCAGGGACAGGACAAGGGGTAACGGGTTCAAACTGAAACGGGGGGAGTTTAGATTGGATCTAAGGAGGAAATTCGTTCCTGTGAGGGTGCTGAGGCACTGGAATGGGTTGCCCAGGGAGGTTGGGAATGCTCCATCCCTGGTGGTGTTCAAGGCCAGGTTGGACAGAGCCTTGGGTGCCATGGTTTAGGGTGAGGTGTCCCTGCCCATGGCAGGGGGTTGGAATCGGATGAGCTTCAGGTCCTTTCCAACCCCAACCATTCCTCGGTTCTGTTCCACCAGGAAGGAGGGGAGCAGCTCAGCTGCTTTGCCTTGGGCACCCAAGGGCTCCTTCAGGCTGCAGGAACCAGCCCCCCGAGCCAACAGCCCAAGTGCCCCTCGGTGAGGCTCCGGTTGCAGGTCCCCTGCTAACAGGGACCTCCTCCTCCTCAGCGCTGGCAAGAGGAGGAGCGGACCCAGGGGTCCCCAAGGAGCCTGCCCCAAGCAGGCTGCGTGCAGGAGGATGCTGAGGGTCACAGCAGACCTCGTGGCACGCGGAGAAGCCCGGACCCGTCCCGCTGGTGCCAGCTCTGGGTCCAAAGCCCGAGCTCCGGTGGCCCACGGACCCCTCCGCTTCCCCGCTGCCCCCCGCAGAAGGCACCGGAGCCGGGCTGCACCCACCGCAAACATGTCCTGGAGCCCATGGGGGGTGAGGTTCCTCTGCAGGAGGCCCTTGAGCAGCTCTTGGAGGGCACTCATGGTGTCACCGTAGAGCGCCTGCGGAGGAGACACGGCTCGGAGGCTCCGCAGGGGCCACGCCGCATCCCGCAGCCACGGGTCTCAACGCAGCTCTCCGCAGCCTGTGCCCGGTCCAGCCACCTCCGGCTCAGCAGGGGCTGAAAGCTGGCTGTAAAACCCCTGCCCTGGCAGCGCTGGGCACCGGCTGGGCATCGGCACCGTGCGGGCCGTGACCGGTGCCAAGAGCCGGCGCGCAGCAGGGCTGAGCACGGATGCTGCCCAGAGGAAATCTGGTCCTTCCCCTGCTGGGGCTACATTCCAGCGAGCCCAGGTGGAATGGGCCCCGGAAGATGCTCAGGGATCCCTTTTGGGATGCGATTCAGGATGCAGGTGCTGGGTGCAGCGATGATGGAGGGAAGGGCTGGGATCCAGGCTGGAGGGGCAGGAACCTCCTGGGGCTCAACCAGGCCAAGGGCAAGGTCCTGCCTGTGGATCGGGGGAACCCCAGCACTGAGCCAGGCTGGGGGAGAGGGGCTGGAGCCTGAGGAGCAGGACTTGGGGGGCTGGGGGAGAAGAACCCCCCCCGTGTGCTGGGTGCACCTAGAGTGGAAGCAGCAGCGCAGGGAGGGGACCCTGCCCCTCTGCTGCGGGAAGGGGAGAGCTGAGAGCAGCCCCAGAGCCTGAAGGGGCTGCAGGGAGCCTTGGGACAAGGGAGGCAGGGATGGGAGGAGGAGGAAGAGGGAAGAGTTGATGGGAGCTTGGGGAGTTCTTCCCCATGGCAGGGGTGAGGTTTGGGATGCTCCATCCCTGGCAGTGCCCAAGGGCAGCTTGGACACAGGGGCTCCGAGCACCCTGCTCCAGGGGAAGGGGTCCCTGCCCTGCCCGTGGTTGGAGCTGGAGGGGCTTTAAGGTCCCTTCACCCCAAACCAGGCTGGGATTCTGCAGCCTCCAAACCTCTGAAGCTCCATAGGAGGGGAGGGAAGCAGAAAGGGAATTCTTAACCCCAGTTCCAGGCCAGATGCCTGTGAACACCAGGCAGGGGGAGCCCCGGGCTGCTCCCCACCTGGGCACAGCACCCACGGGGCCGAGCAGGGTTTGTGCCAGCACCACAGCTCCCTTTGGAAAGGGCCCTCCTCCCCTTAGGCTCCAGCATCCCCGATCCCCCTCCAGGGAGCTCATGCTCTCACCACCAGCTTGCCCTGGTGAGGAGCTCGGGTTCCCGCTGCAGTCAGTGCAGCAGAGGGGCCGGGCTGGGGGAGATGAGGGAGCAGAGGGAACACCGGAGCCAGTTCCCCCCTGCCTGGATTGAATGCAGCCCCTTCCCACGGCTGATCCAGGGGCAGGGGGGGACAGGATGCACCTTGTTGGCTCCTGGGAATGTGAGGAGGCCCCGGGACGCTGCCCCAACCCCAACGTCCCCGAGCAGCACCAGGGAACAAAGCTGGATCTTAACATCACATCGGCTTTGTGCTGCTCCAGGTATTCCTGCTCTTGGTACAGCATCCCCTGCCTGCTCCGGGTATTCCTGCTCCTTGGTACAGCATCCCCCTGCATGCTCCAGGTATTCCTGCTCCTTGGTACAGCATCCCCCTGCCTGCTCCAGGTATTCCTGCTCCTTGGTACAGCATCCCCCTGCCTGCTCCAGGTATTCCTGCTCCTTGGTACAGCATCCCCCTTCATGTCCTGGGTATTCCTGCTCCTTGGTACAGCATCCCCCTGCCTGCTCCAGGTATTCCTGCTCCTTGGTACAGCATCCCCCTGCCTGCTCCAGGTATTCCTGCTCCTTGGTACAGCATCCCCGTCTGCCCTGGGGATTCCTGCTCCTTGGTACAGCATCCCCCTTCATGTCCTGGGTATTCCTGCTCCTTGGTACAGCATCCCCCTGTCTGCTCCAGGTATTCCTGCTCCTTGGTACAGCATCCCCCTTCATGTCCTGGGTATTCCTGCTCCTTGGTACAGCATCCCCCTGTCTGCTCCAGGTATTCCTGCTCCTTGGTACAGCATCCCCCTTCATGTCCTGGGTATTCCTGCTCCTTGGTACAGCATCCCCCTTCATGTCCTGGGTATTCCTGCTCCTTGGTACAGCATCCCCCTCCCTGCTCCAGGTATTCCTGCTCCTTGGTACAGCATCCCCCTGCCTGCTCCAGGTATTCCTGCTCCTTGGTACAGCATCCCCCTTCATGTCCTGGGTATTCCTGCTCCTTGGTACAGCATCCCCCTGCCTGCTCCAGGTATTCCTGCTCCTTGGTACAGCATCCCCCTTCATGCCCTGGGTATTCCTGCTCCTTGGTACAGCATCCCCCTGCCTGCCCTGGGTATTCCTGCTCCTTGGTACAGCATCCCCCTGCCTGCTCCAGGTATTCCTGCTCCTTGGTACAGCATCCCCCTGTCTGCTCCAGGTATTCCTGCTCCTTGGTACAGCATCCCCCTTCATGTCCTGGGTATTCCTGCTCCTTGGTACAGCATCCCCCTGTCTGCTCCAGGTATTCCTGCTCCTTGGTACAGCATCCCCCTGTCTGCCCTGGGGATTCCTGCTCCTTGGTACAGCATCCCCCTGTCTGCTCCAGGTATTCCTGCTCCTTGGTACAGCATCCCCCTGCCTGCTCCAGGTATTCCTGCTCCTTGGTACAGCATCCCCCTGTCTGCCCTGGGGATTCCTGCTCCTTGGTACAGCATCCCCCTCCCTGCTCCAGGTATTCCTGCTCCTTGGTACAGCATCCCCCTGTCTGCCCTGGGGATTCCTGCTCCTTGGTACAGCATCCCCCTCCCTGCTCCAGGTATTCCTGCTCCTTGGTACAGCATCCCCCTGCCTGCTCCAGGTATTCCTGCTCCTTGGTACAGCATCCCCCTTCATGCCCTGGGTATTCCCACCTCCTTGGGAATGGCATCGGCTCCATTCTCCTCCCTGTCCTTGGCCAGCTCCAGCGGTGGAAGCGCCAGCACTCCAGCCAGGCACGTGTCAATGAGCTCTGTCCGGTCAGGGTCACTCAGGTGGGGCTCCAGGATGCTGATCCCAGCTTAAGGAAGCAACATGGATCACCGAGCCCTAGGGGAGCCCTCACCCAGGGAAGCAGGGAACTCGGGGCAGCCGCTCCAAGCAGGTCCAGCACGCCTGGCACTGCTCTGCGGATGCAGCCAGCACGGGAGAGCAGCAGGGGAGCCGCGGGGTGAAGCAGGCCGGGGTGAGGCTCCATCACTCCCGCAGGGATGGGCGCACGGGAAGGATACACCAGGTAAGTGCAGGCGACCATGGCCCGCTGGCGAACCGGCGTCCGCAGCGTGTCCTGGGGCTCTGCCTTCATGAAGTCCTGGAGGGCAGCGCAAGGGGACGGTGAGGGCCACGTCCAGCCCCACCGCTTGCCAGGCGTGGGGAAGGTGTGCTGTTATCCCCACACGTGGAATGCTGCACACCCCCCCCCACGCCCTGGGACGGGTGTGCACGGGGATGGAGGCAGCAGCATCGCTCGCAGCGAAGGATGCTGGAAGGGCAGAGCCCACCCCATGGGGGTCCACGGCTCCAGCAGACACCCGGGGACGGGGCTCCTCAAGGCAAACTCTTACCCAGCCTTCCCTCAGGAGCACAGCTCCGGGCAGGGAGCAGCTCCAGCCACGTGTAACCCCCGGTGACGGGGCTCGGGCACCCCCAGACCACCCCCTCAAGGCTTCTCTTACCACCATCTGGGCCACGAGCTCGGCCTTGCGGGAGAAGCTGAAGTCCCCACACTTGCCCCCTTTGCAGATGGCCTGGCTGATCATGCAGATGCTCCGGATGAGGCAGAGCTTCAGCGTCAGGTCCTGAGAGCACAACGCAGGGTGAAGATCAGGCTCAAACCCACCCCAACACAGCCCACCCCAAACGGGCGTCCCTGCACGGAAACCAGAGCTCAGGCTGAGCCCGTGCCCTTGGTGTGAGGGCTCAGCTCCCTGCTCTCCATCCCTGCCTCAGGCTCCCTGCTGGCTGCGGAGCACCAGGAACCCCCCATCCCTGCTGCCACTGGAGCACATGGGATGAGGACACTGCTGCAGGGCTCCCTCCCCTCAAAGCAGCCCCTGAGGACAGAGATGCTGAGGGGCAGCTCCATAGGATGCCAGGAGCCGTTCCCCGTGCGCAGTTTGGGGTGCAGGACCGGTGACATGGGGAGGCATCACCACCCAAAGCGCTCCCCTCGTCAGGGAGCAGGGCAGGGGCTCTCAAGGAGGGGGTCCCAGCTCGGGGCTGGAGAGGCAGAAGCTGTTAGTACCAGGGAGCCCAGAAGGAGAAGGCATTAGTGGAGCCCAGCAGAGCCCTTGGCCAGAGCCCAGCCTGGCTGACGGCAATGTCCCTGTCAGCCTTTGGAAAGAGAAGCACGGAGAGATGCGTTCACACGAGAGCAGAGGTGATTCTGCTCTGCTCTGCCCTGCTGACCCCAGCACCAGAGGGACCTGGAGCTGCTGGGGAGAGCCCAGAGGAGGCTACGGGGCTGCTGCGAGGGCTGGAGCAGCTCTGCCCTGGAGCCAGGCTGGGAGAGCTGGGCTGGGGCAGCCTGGGGAAGAGAAGGCTCCTGAAGGGGAGAGCTGAGAGCAGCTCCGGTGCCTGAAGGGGCTGCAGGGAGCCTGGAGAGGGGTTGGGACAAGGGCCTGTAGGGACAGGCCAAGGGGAATGGCTTTAACCTGCCTGAGGGGAGACTGAGCTGAGCTCTGAGGCAGAAGCTCTTCCCTGTGAGGGTGCTGAGGCGCTGGCACAGGGTGCCCAGAGGAGCTGTGGCTGCCCCATCCCTGGCAGTGCTCAAGGCCAGGTTGGACACAGGGGCTCGGAGCACCCTGCTCCAGGGGAAGGGGTCCCTGCCCTGGCCGGGGTCGGAGCCAAGAGGCAGAGAGCTGCTGTGAGCGCAGCACGGGGCTGCTCTCGGGGAAGGCAGAGCAAGAGGCAGGCAGAGGAGCAGCGGGAGCAGAGGAGCCCGTTCAGTGCCTCACACTGTACCTTGGTTTCTACCTTTATGCCCAGAACCTGAACAGGTGGAAAGAAGAGGACACGTTAGCACTGAAACGGGAACCTCCCTGTCCTGGGGTCCCGGGGCTGTCCCGGCACCTCACCTTGGTGTTGAAGTACTGGAAGATGTTCTTCAGGACGTCCGCTTCGATGCGGGGCAGCACCAGGTCCTGGGGCGCGCAGGCGGCCACGTAGCCATAGCACAGGATGAGGGTGCTCTTGATCTTCTCCACTTCGCTGTCGCTGCGGTCCTGGCAGGGCAGAGCAGAGCCAGTGCGGGCACCGGGGCTGCCAAGGGCCCCGTGCTGCTGCCGGGACCCCGGCTCGGGCTGCCTGAGCCAGCGACGTGGCCCCACAACACAGGGGACCCCAAAGCCCGTTGGGGATGCTCACTGCCCACCCAACAGCCACGAGCCCTGAGGGCCATCCAGTGATACCCGGCAGAGCCCAGCATGGGGGATCGGGAGCCCCAGCCCGGGCCAGGTTAACCCTGGCCAAGATAACCAAGGGCACCAAGTGGGTGAGCACCAGGGTAATGGTGGGAACAGCACCAGGGTAATGGTGGGAACAGCACCAGGGTAATGGTGGGAACAGCACCAGGGGAATGGTGGGAACAGCACCAGGTTAATGGTGGGAACAGCACCAGGGTAATGGTGGGAACAGCACCAGGGTAATGGTGGGAACAGCACCAGGGTAATGGTGGGGAACAGCACCAGGGTAATGGTGGGAACAGCACCAGGTTAATGTGGGAACAGCACCAGGGTAATGGTGGGAACAGCAGCAGGGTAATGGTGGGAACAGCACCAGGTTAATGGTGGGAACAGCACCAGGGTAATGGTGGGGAACAGCACCAGGGTAATGGTGGGAACAGCACCAGGTTAATGTGGGAACAGCACCAGGGTAATGGTGGGAACAGCACCAGGGTAATGGTGGGAACAGCACCAGGGTAATGGGGGGAACAGCACCAGGGTAATGGTGGGAACAGCACCAGGTTAATGGTGGGGAACAGCACCAGGGCAATGGTGGGAACAGCACCAGGGTAATGGTGGGAACAGCACCAGGGTAATGGTGGGGAACAGCACCAGGGTAATGGTGGGAACAGCACCAGGTTAATGGTGGGAACAGCACCAGGGCAATGGTGGGAACAGCACCAGGGTAATGGTGGGAACAGCACCAGGGTAATGGTGGGGAACAGCACCAGGGTAATGGTGGGAACAGCACCAGGTTAATGTGGGAACAGCACCAGGGTAATGGTGGGAACAGCACCAGGGTAATGGTGGGGAACAGCACCAGGGTAATGGTGGGAACAGCACCAGGGTAATGGTGGGAACAGCACCAGGGTAATGGTGGGAACAGCACCAGGGTAATGGTGGGAACAGCACCAGGGTAATGGTGGGAACAGCACCAGGGTAATGGTGGGAACAGCACCAGGTTAATGGTGGGGAACAGCACCAGGTTAATGGTGGGAACAGCACCAGGGTAATGGTGGGGAACAGCACCAGGGTAATGGTGGGGAACAGCACCAGGGTAATGGTGGGAACAGCACCAGGGTAATGCTGGTGAGCAGCACCAGGGTAATGGTGGGAACAGCACCAGGGTAATGGTGGGAACAGCACCAGGGTAATGGTGGGAACAGCACCAGGGTAATGGTGGGAACAGCACCAGGGTAATGGTGGGGAACAGCACCAGGGTAAGGGTGGGAACAGCACCAGGGTAATGGTGGGGAACAGCACCAGGTTAATGGTGGGGAACAGCACCAGGGTAATGGTGGGAACAGCACCAGGGTAATGGTGGGAACAGCACCAGGGTAATGGTGGGAACAGCACCAGGGTAATGGTGGGAACAGCACCAGGGTAATGGTGGGGAACAGCACCAGGGTAATGGTGGGAACAGCACCAGGGTAATGGTGGGAACAGCACCAGGGTAAGGGTGGGAACAGCACCAGGGTAATGGGGGGAACAGCACCAGGGTAATGGTGGGAACAGCACCAGGGTAATGGTGGGAACAGCACCAGGGTAAGGGTGGGAACAGCACCAGGGTAATGGTGGGGAACAGCACCAGGGTAATGGTGGGAACAGCACCAGGGTAAGGGTGGGGAACAGCACCAGGGTAATGGTGGGAACAGCATCAGGGTAATGGTGGGGAACAGCACCAGGGTAATGGTGGGAACAGCACCAGGGTAAGGGTGGGGAACAGCACCAGGGTAATGGTGGGAACAGCATCAGGGTAATGGTGGGGAACAGCACCAGGGTAATGGTGGGAACAGCACCAGGGTAATGGTGGGAACAGCACCAGGGTAATGGGGGGAACAGCACCAGGGTAATGGTGGGAACAGCACCAGGGTAATGGTGGGAACAGCACCAGGGTAATGGTGGGGAACAGCACCAGGGTAATGGTGGGAACAGCACCAGGGTAATGGTGGGAACAGCACCAGGGTAATGGTGGGGAACAGCACCAGGGTAATGGTGGGAACAGCACCAGGGTAATGGTGGGAACAGCACCAGGTTAATGTGGGGAACAGCACCAGGGTAATGGTGGGAACAGCACCAGGGTAATGGTGGGGAACAGCACCAGGTTAATGGTGGGGAACAGCACCAGGGTAATGGTGGGAACAGCACCAGGTTAATGTGGGGAACAGCACCAGGGTAATGGTGGGAACAGCACCAGGGTAATGGGGGGAACAGCACCAGGTTAATGGTGGGAACAGCACCAGGGTAATGGTGGGGAACAGCACCAGGGTAATGGTGGGAACAGCACCAGGGTAATGGTGGGAACAGCACCAGGTTAATGGTGGGAACAGCACCAGGGTAATGGTGGGAACAGCACCAGGGTAATGGTGGGAACAGCACCAGGGTAATGGTGGGAACAGCACCAGGGTAATGGTGGGGACAGCACCAGGGTAATGGTGGGGACAGCACCAGGTTAATGTGGGGAACAGCACCAGGGTAATGGTGGGAACAGCACCAGGGTAATGGTGGGAACAGCACCAGGGTAATGGTGGGAACAGCACCAGGGTAATGGTGGGGACAGCACCAGGTTAATGTGGGGAACAGCACCAGGGTAATGGGGGGAACAGCACCAGGGTAATGCTGGTGAGCAGCACCCACTGCCTGTCCCCCAGCCCTGCTGAAAGCCATCCCCAGCCCAGGGAGCAGTTGGTGGCCAGCACCCATCGCACCACAGCCCCAAGGCTGCACCAGGGCATCCTCAGCCAGCTCCCAAGCTCCAGTGTCCGTCCTGTGCTGAGCCAGGGTCCGCACAGCACCAATCCTGCCCTCAAACATCCCACCCCAGAGAGCAGGAAGGAAACCCCCCCACGGATCAGGAGCCTGGGGCATGAAACCACGGCTGAGGAGCTGGAGCTGAGCAGCCTCTGATGCCAAGAGCAGCTCGGGGCTATCCCAGCTCCATGCCAAGTGCTCCGGGGCAGGAGAAGGAACACTCAGCCCCAGCTCCACCCAAAGCATCCCGCAGGAGCCTTTAGCTGTGGGTCAGGTCCCATTGGCCTCTTACCTTGAAGATACTGAAAAGCCCCACGGACTTCTTGAAGACATCGGACCTGACGAACTCCTCCAGCTTGGCCAAGGTCTCCTCCAGGTGGTTTATGGCACACAGCCCAAAGCAGGAGGCAAGTCCCTGGCGGGGGCAGAGCAAACACATCAGCAGGAAGCTGCTAAGGCCCAGCCCCAGCTGATGCTCCAAGAGCCTGGTTATTGGTTCCATGCCCAGCACCATTGGTTCCATGCCCAGCACCATTGGTTCCATACCCAGCACCATTGGTTCTGGTCAGGTTGGAGCTCCCTGCTCCAGTGCAAGGGGTCCCTGCCCGCGGCAGGGGTTGGAGCTGGGGGAGCTTTAAGGTCCCTTCCAACCCAAACCAGTCTGGGGTTCTATGATTAAGCTGGTCCAGTGCTTGACAGCCCTCAGGGGAAGAAATTGCTCCCAGTATCCCACCTATCCCCCTCCTGGCCCAGCTCGAGGGCAGGACCGCTCTGCTGCTCCATCCGGATGAGCCCTGGGATGCGTGGCACAGCCCCTCACCTCCCTTTCTGCCTCCTCGTGGTATCTGGCTGTTTCCAGGAGCTCCTGGAGCTGCTTTTGCACGAGGTCCTTGCTGCTGCAGGCCCCCAGCGTCGTTCCGATGCATTTGTACAGGAAGTTCTGGAGGAGGAAGAGGAACAGCCGCATCCCTGAGGGCGCTGAGCCCCGGGCAGGGAGAGCTGCTCCCAGCCAGGCTCCTCCTCACAGCGCCCTGAAGCAGAGCTGGAGGGCAGAGCCCGGCTGATGCTCGGAGCAACAGCGCAGGACCTGCACACGGGGGGGCAGTCACGGCATCAACTGGGCTGGGACCAGCTCCAACCATTGCCAGCACCGCCGGGGCCACCACTAAGCCCTGGCACCGAGGGCCTCGGCCACACGGGTTTTAGACAGCCCCAGGGTTGGTTCCTCACAAACTTCCCTGCATCCAGCCCCCCACCACCCTTTAGGTGGATGAATTGTTCCTCAGCTCCATCCTTTGGGTACCTCCAGGGCTGGTGATGCAGCCCTGCCCCGGGCAGCCTCTTCCAATGCCTGAGCACCCTCTGGGGCAGGAATTGTTCCTCAGCTCCATCTAACCCTGCCCTGGGGCAGCTTGAGGCCGGTTCCTCTTGTCCCATCCCTTGCTCCTTGGGAGCAGAGCCCAGCCCCTCCTGGCTCCATCCTCCTGGCAGGCACTTGGAGGGAGCCATCAGGTCCCCCCTGAGCCTTCCCTTCCCCATCTGAATCCCCCAGGTCCCTCAGCCCTTCCCCATCACCCCTGTGCTCCAGGCCCTGCTCCAGCTCCATTCCCTTCTCCGGCCCCACTCCAGCCCCTCAAGGTCTCTCTTGCAGTGAGGGGCCCGGAGCCGAGCACAGGATCCCAGGTGCGGCCTCCCCGGTGCCCGGTGCAGGGGCTCAACCCCTGCCCTGGCCCTGGTGCTGCTCCAGCCGTGGTGCCGCTGGGCACCAGCACAAGGATGCTGCTGGCGACCCCCGGGGCTGGCGCCGCTCTGCCCCCGCTGACGCCCCGGGCTCACCTTCTCCGCGGGGAAGCCGCTGTAGCTGCCGAGCTGCCCGCACATCTCCAGCACCAAGCGGGCAACCCAGGCCCCGTCAGCCACGGCCGCCAGCGTCTCCTGCAGGAACTGCGGGAGGAGGAGGAGGGTCAGGGCCCGGGGCCCGGGGGGCCGGACCCGGAATGAACCGTGGAACCGACGCGGGGGAAGAGCTCAGCTCATCCAGGCCAACCGGTCCCAGCCCTGCCGAGGGCACCCCGGCCCCACGTCCCCGAGCGCCCCATCTGCACATCCTTTGGGTACCTCCAGGGCCGGTGCCTGCAGCCCTGCCCCGGGCAGCCTCTTCCGATGCCTGAGCACCCTCTGGGGCAGGAATTGTTCCTCAGCTCCATCTAACCCTGCCCTGGGGCAGCTTGAGGCCGGTTCCTCTTGTCCCATCCCTTGTTCCTTGGGAGCAGAGCCCAGCCCCTCCTGGCTCCATCCTCCTGGCAGGCACTTGGAGGGAGCCATCAGGTCCCCTGCCCGGCCCAGCCATTCCCCCTGCTCCAGCAATGAGCCTCTTCCCTCGGGATCACGGTGAGGCTGTGCCCTCACCACAGGAGCCTGCCCGGTTCTCGTTCCTTCTCCATGGCCCAGTTCAGGCTCTGAATCAAGTGGGGGGACCCCTGGGACCCAGCAGCTCCTGGAGCCGCTGTTCCCTGACCCACAACTGAGAGCTCGGTTTAAGCTGATCTGCCCCTGCTGTGCGAGCAGCCCCACGGCAGGGACCATCCATCACCACAGCAGGCACCATCCATCACCACGGCTGGCACCACCCATCACCACGGCTGGCACCACCCATCACCACAGCAGGCACCATCCATCACCACGGCTGGCACCATCCATCACCATAGCAGGCACCATCCATCACCACGGCTGGCACCATCCATCACCACAGCAGGCACCATCCATCACCACAGCAGGCACCATCCATCACCACGGCTGGCACCATCCATCACCATAGCAGGCACCATCCATCACCACGGCTGGCACCATCCATCACCACGGCTGGCACCACCCACCACCACAGCAGGCACCATCCATCACCACGGCTGGCACCATCCATCACCACAGCAGGCACCATCCCCAGCACCACGGCTGGCACCACCCATCACCATAGCAGGCACCATCCATCACCACGACTGGCACCACCCATCACCATAGCAGGCACCATCCATCACCACAGCTGGCACCACCCATCACCACGACTGGCACCACCCATCACCACAGCAGGCACCATCCATCACCACGATTGGCACCACCCATCACCATAGCAGGCACCATCCATCACCACAGCTGGCACCACCCATCACCACAGCAGGCACCATCCATCACCACAGCAGGCACCACCCATCACCACAGCAGGCACCACCCATCACCACAGCTGGCACCATCCATCGCCACGACTGGCACCACCCATCACCATAGCAGGCACCACCCATCACCACGACTGGCACCACCCATCACCATAGCAGGCACCACCCATCACCACAGCTGGCACCACCCATCACCACGGCTGGCATCACCCATCACCACAGCAGGCATCACCCATCACCACAGCAGGCACCACCCATCACCACGACTGGCATCACCCATCACCACGACTGGCATCACCCATCACCACAGCAGGCACCACCCATCACCACGGCTGGCATCACCCATCACCACAGCAGGCACCACCCATCACCACAGCAGGCACCACCCATCACCACAGCAGGCATCACCCATCACCACAGCAGGCACCACCCATCACCACAGCAGGCACCACCCATCACCACGACTGGCATCACCCATCACCACGACTGGCATCACCCATCACCACGACTGGCACCACCCATCACCACGACTGGCACCATCCATCACCATAGCAGGCACCACCCATCACCACAGCAGGCACCATCCATCACCACGACTGGCACCACCCATCACCATAGCAGGCACCACCCATCACCACGACTGGCATCACCCATCACCACAGCAGGCACCACCCATCACCACAGCAGGCACCACCCATCACCACGACTGGCACCACCCATCACCATAGCAGGCACCATCCATCACCACGACTGGCACCACCCATCACCATAGCAGGCACCACCCATCACCACGACTGGCATCACCCATCACCACAGCAGGCACCACCCATCACCACAGCAGGCACCACCCATCACCACGACTGGCACCACCCATCACCATAGCAGGCACCACCCATCACCACAGCAGGCACCATCCATCACCACAGCAGGCACCACCCATCACCACGACTGGCATCACCCATCACCACAGCAGGCACCATCCATCACCACAGCAGGGACCATCCCCATCACCACGGCTGGCATCACCCATCACCACAGCAGGCACCACCCATCACCATAGCAGGCACCACCCATCACCATAGCAGGCACCACCCATCACCACGGCTGGCACCACCCATCACCACAGCAGGCACCACCCATCACCACGGCTGGCACCACCCATCACCACGGCAGGGACCATCCCCATCACCACGGCTGGGGTGGGTGAGGGTCCATTCCTGCCCTGCAGCCCCAGCCCCACGCTGCTCGGAGCTGGGTGCTGCCACCCTCCCAGTGCCCCCCCCAGCACAGGGACCTTACCAGCAGCAGCTCCTCCTCCCATTCCTTGCGGGACAGGGCCTGCTCCGTGCTCTCTAGGAGGAAGCACACGGAACACCCTGGGTTCTCACCCTCATGGCGCACAGCCGGCAGCATTCCCGGCAGGAATGATGGCACCAGGGTGCTCAAGCAGGAACCGGCACCTCCGAGAGCTGGGATGTGCTGGGAGCCAGCAGAGCCCCCCCCCCCCCCCCGAGCAGAGCCTGACCCCACCTTCGATGTGCTGCACCAGGACAGGGACCCTCTTGCTCCAGAGCGGGCCCAGCGAGGGGTGGACGCTGCCGTGCAGGACATGGAGCAGGCGCAGGGCGGCCGCCCCCCGGCAGGAGCCTGCGTGGGGCTGCGAGGACACAACCTGAGGGCATGGGATGGGACAAGGGCTGAAACACGGGGATGGAGACGGGGAACTGGGGGGGGCACGGAACGGGGTGGGAGGAAGGGAGCTGAAAGCTGCTCCAGCTCCATCCCCTGCCCCTGGAGCAGGGTGCTCGGAGCCCCTGCGTCCAACCTGGCCTTGAGAAGGGATGGGGCAGCCCCAGCTTCTCCCTTCAACCCCTTCCAGCACCCAGCACCCTCAGAGCGAAGAGTTTCTTCCCTAAACCCAACCTAAATCCTCCTGTTTCAGTCTGAACCCATCACCCCTTGCCCTGTCCCTCCAGCCCCGATGAAGAGTGCGTATGTACATACGGCAGAGCACCCAAAGCAAGCACCCGCATCCCTGCTTTGCTCCCTGCAGCCCCCAGCACCCTCAGAGCGAAGAGTTCCTTCCCTAAACCCAGCCTAAATCCTCCTGTTTCAGTCTGAACCCATCACCCCTTGTCCTGTCCCTCCAGCCCCGATGAAGAGTGCGTACATAAGGCAGAGCACCCAAAGCAAGCACCCCCATCCCTGCTTTGCTCCCTGCAGCCCCCAGCACCCTCAGAGCAAAGTTTCTTCCCTAAACCCAACCTAAATCCTCCTGTTTCAGTCTGAACCCATCACCCCTTGCCCTGTCCCTCCAGCCCCTGATGAAGAGTACGTATGTACATACGGCAGAGCACCCAAAGCAAGCACCCGCATCCCTGCTTTGCTCCCTGCAGCCCCCAGCACCCTCAGAGCAAAGTTTCTTCCCTAAACCCAACCTAAATCCTCCTGTTTCAGTCTGAACCCATCACCCCTTGTCCTGTCCCTCCAGCCCCTGATGAAGAGAGTGCGTACATAAGGCAGAGCACCCAAAGCAAGCACCCCCATCCCTGCTTTGCTCCCTGCGGCCCCCAGAACCCTCAGAGCGAAGAGTTCCTTCCCTAAACCCAACCTAAATCCTCCTGTTTCAGTCTGAACCCATCACCCCTTGTCATGTCCCTCCAGCCCCTGATGAAGAGTACGTATGTACATACGGCAGAGCACCCAAAGCAAGCACCCGCATCCCTGCTTTGCTCCCTGCGGCCCCCAGAACCCTCAGAGCGAAGAGTTCCTTCCCTAAACCCAGCCTAAATCCTCCTGTTTCAGTCTGAACCCATCACCCCTTGTCCTGTCCCTCCAGCCCTGCCAGGGATGGGGCAGCCCCAGCTTCTCCCTTCAACCCCTTCCAGCATCCCAGCACCCTCAGAGCAAAGTTTCTTCCCTAAACCCAGCCTAAATCCTCCTGTTTCAGTCTGAACCCATCACCCCTTGCCCTGTCCCTCCAGCCCCGATGAAGAGAGTACGTACATAAGGCAGAGCACCCAAAGCAAGCACCCCCATCCCTGCTTTGCTCCCTGCAGCCCCTTAGGTCCACGTGGCACGAGGGATGCATGGCTCTGCACGGGTAAGAGCTCGCTCGCAGGGTAAGGGGCTGCTCTGCCTGCAGGCACTCACCAGCAGCCGCGTTGTGAGAGCGTAGGGCGAGGGGAGGTTTGCTGCAAAGGGAAGGGCAAAGGCATGAGATGGCCCCTGCCACGGGCAGGATGCGGCCCCCCAAGGGCCAGCGCTGACCGTTCACGTCGTAGCGGATCAGGGACGCGGTTTCGCCCTCCTCTTCCTTCTTCATGGCCAGGTACATGAGGCTCCTGCAGAGCGGGCTCAGGGCGGTGGTGAACTGGATGGGGGTGACAAACTCCAGCAGGTACGGCCACAGCACCTGAGGGGACAACAGGGGCAGTGGGGCACCCATGGGTGCCCAGCGAGAGCCCGGCGGCGGGAGGGAGACCCTGCACCGGGGAGTGGGACCGGGAGGGAGAGGGCAATGGGAGATGGGGGGGGTCAAGGGGCTTCTGGGGAAGGGGGGAAGCTCTGAGCCCCTTCTTGAGTGCTGCTGCTCAAGGGGGAGCTCTCCCCAGCCTGGGCTCAGCTCCAGCAGCACCGGAGCCTCAGCCCCAGGGGGTTCCCTTCACTGAACCCCGGATGGGTTGGGTGGAAGGGACCTCAAAGCTCCTCCAGTCCACGGGCAGGGACCCCTTCCCCTGGAGCAGGGTGCTCCGAGCCCCTGTGTCCAAGCTGCCCTCGAGCACTGCCAGGGATGGAGCATCCCAAACCTCTCCCTTCAACCCCTGCCATAGGGAAGAACTCCCCAAGCTCCCATCAACTCTTCCCTCTTCCTCCTCCTCCCATCCCTGCCTCCCTGTCCCAACCCCTCTCTAGGTCCCCTGCACCCCTTCAGGCACTGGGCTCCTCTCAGCTCTCCCCTTGAGGAGCCTTCTCTTCCCCAGGCTTCCCCAGCCCAGCTCTCCCAGCCTGGCTCCAGGGCAGTCGTGTTCCATCCCTTGGACCATTTCCATGTTCCTCTTCTGGTCCAAGAGCTCCACATCCATCCCGAGCTGAGGACCTCCAGCACTGCCACGCTCCAGCCTCAGAGCAGCTCACGGGGATGGGACACACGGGTCCCAAACCCACCCCCTGCCCTGCTCCCGATGGGATGGGGACACTGGGACAGCACCACTCTCCTTGCTCCCACAGGTGTCAGGGCCTGAGCAGACTCACGTTGTTCACTCCTGTCCACAGTGGTGCTGAGGAGGAAGAGGGTGTTGATGCTGATGCTCTGGACGCTGTCACTGCTGAGGTCCTCGGCATCCGGCGCCTGCTTCTTGGGGTGCTGGAGGAGAGGGAAAGCTGAGGTCAGTGTGGAGGGAGCCCGATGCCCACTTCAGGGAGCGCACTGGAGGGCAGCAGCTTGACCCAGCCTGGCCGCATGGAGGGCAGGGAGGCATCAGCGCAGCCCCAAGCCTTCGGATGCAGGATGCAGCTACCCAGCGGCAGCTCGGCCGGTCCCAAGGTTTCTCCAGCTCCCCCTCGCTCCAGGGGCAGGAACTCACCACCCTCATGGGGAAGAGCTCCCCAAGCTCCCATCAACTCTTCCCTCTTCCTCCTCCTCCCCATCCCTGCCTCCCTCGTCCCAACCCCTCTCCAGGCTCCCTGCAGCCACTGGAGCTGCTCTCAGCTCTCCCCTTCTCTGCTCCCAGCCTGGCTCCAGGGCAGAGCCGCTCCAGCAGCTCCGGGGCCTCCTCCACGTCCTGCCCCATGCCGGGGTCCCCCCGGGTGCACGCACCCCATCGGAGGCCAGGCGCACTGCCGACCAGGAACTCCACCATGGCCTCCCCGCCGGGCTGCTCCAGGTATCCGTGATGGGCCATGGCACTGATCACCTGCACCACGGCTCGCTTCACCTGCGCGGCGACAGCACCCATGAGCGGGGGGGAGCACCCTCACCTTGGCCATGGGGTGCCACTGAGGCTCCTACCCAGAGCTTCGAGGGGCCCGGGCTCTGCCAGCAGCACCCAGGCACCGAGGGCTCAAAGGGGACCAGACCGGAGCCCACCGCCGCAGCAGCCATGGGTGCATCTGGCACAGATGGGGCTGGCGGGGCTCAGAACGTGCCCCCACGGACGCCCTGCAGCGCAGCACGGACGCGCAGGAGCGCGGCTCACCTTGTTGCTGCTGTCTTGCAGGGGGAGCTTCATGGACGAAAGAATTAAAGGGCTTTTTGATCTCCATCTGGGAGGCTGCAAAGAAACACGGGAGACTGGAGAGCAGCCACCAGGGTGGGGGGAGAGGTGGAGCCGGGGAGGCCCCGGGCCAACGGCACCAGAGGGACCTGGAGCTGCTGCGAGGGTGGAGCAGCTCTGCCCTGGAGCCAGGCTGGGAGCAGAGAAGGGGAGAGCTCAGAGCAGCTCCAGGGCCTGAAGGGGCTGCAGGAGCCTTGGGACAAGGGAGGCAGGGATGGGAGGAGGAGGAAGAGGGAAGAGTTGATGGGAGCTTGGGGAGTTCTTCCCCATGGAAGGGGTTGAAGGGAGAGGTTTGGGATGCTCCATCCCTGGCAGTGCTCGAGGGCAGCTTGGACACAGGGGCTCGGAGCACCCTGCTCCAGGGGAAGGGGATGGGGTTGGAGCTGGAGCAGCTTTAAGCTCCCTTCATCCCAACCCGTTCCACGACTGCAGCTCAGTGAAGACAGGTTCTGAAGCTCAGCACCTCCTGAGCTGCCAAGGACAGAGCTGCTGCTCCCCAACACTCCCCTTCCCCTGCAGGGAGGGCTCTGTCCCTCACCCCTTCCGAGCCGAAGCGTCCCCTCCAGCCAAGGACGGGCTCAGCTCATCCCACTGACCCCGGCCCCACGGGGCAATGAGGGCTCAGGGAGCAGGAGCCCCCAGGGCTGGGCCCGGCCGGGGCTGCAGCAGGCAGGACTCACGGGCGCTGTTGATGATCTGCCTCATGATGAGCAGGGTCCCCACTCGGGTCCTCTCGTTGCTGCTCTCCAGCTTCGGGAGGAGGAAGGCCAGGACACGGTCCGGGAAGGAGCAGGCTGCAGGAGGGGAAACAGCATCAGGGGCACGTCAGCATCAGTGGCACCGGAACCCCTACATGGAGACACCCCAGGTGTCCGTGCATGCCATGGGGCTGCGTGGCTGGAGTGGGGCCGAGAAGGGAACGGAGCTGGAGCAGGGCCTGGAGCACAGGGGTGATGGGGAAGGGCTGAGGGACCTGGGGGGTTCAGATGGGGAAGGGAAGGCTCAGGGGGGACCTGATGGCTCCCTCCAAGTGCCTGCCAGGAGGATGGAGCCAGGAGGGGCTGGGCTCTGCTCCCAAGGAACAAGGGATGGGACAAGAGGAACCGGCCTCAAGCTGCACCAGGGCAGGGTTAGATGGAGCTGAGGAACAATTCCTGCCCCAGAGGGTGCTCGGGCATTGGGAGAGGCTGCCCGGGGGAACGCCAGAAATAAACCAGTTTGGGGGCAGGAAAGTGGAGCAGCACCCGGGGCATTGGCTGGGATGGGAGGGAGGCCGGAGCAGCGGGGAGCTGGTGCAGGAGCAGCAGCGGATGCGAGGCTTGGGCTTGGGGTGCTGCAGGAGGAGAAGCTCCCAGGACCCGGCCCAGAACCACCCCCCCCGTGTGCTGGGGGCACCCAGAGCGGGAGCAGCAGCGCGGAGGGGGGGATCCTGCCCCTCTGCTGTGGGAAGGGGGGAGCTGAGAGCAGCTCCAGGGCATGAAGGGGCTGCAGGGAGCATGGAGAGGGGTTGGGATGAGGGAGGCAGGGATGGGAGGAGGAGGAAGAGGGAAGAGTTGATGGGAGCTTGGGGAGTTCTTCCCCATGGCAGGGGTTGAAGGGAGAGGTTTGGGATGCTCCATCCCTGGCAGTGCTCAAGGGCAGCTTGGACACAGGGGCTCGGAGCACCCTGCTCCAGGGGAAGGGGATGGGGTTGGATGTGGAGGAGCTTCAAGCTCCCTTCATCCCCAGCCCTACCATGGCTCCATGGGCTGGAACCAGGACAGCAGCCACCCCGCTGCCACCACGGCTGAGAGGTGCCCCCTGTATCCCTGAGGCCAGAGGGACCCAAGCCCTGCTGCCCCACACACACCTCCTTGGGCAGGGGCAGGAGGCAGCGCGGAGCACAGCACCCACGGTGCCCCACACCCGCCATGCCCGGGGACCCCCAGGCACGGACCCCCTTACCCAGCACAGTGAAGCACCGCAGGACCTCGGTGTGGTTCTTCGCCGTGAGGGGCACTGCGGGCTCTGCAGGAGCACAGATCTGGGGGGGGAACGGGGACACGGCCGCCGTCACCGGCACCGCGAGGACCACGGGGCCCCGGCTTGGGCTCTGCGGCTGCGCCCCACAGCTGCGCCCCACAGCCCCTGAGCAGCGCCGTCATGGAGCACAGACCCTGCCGCCAGCACCACGGTGGGGCCCAGCTCGCAGACACCAGGGGTCCGGGGTGTGCTCAGGGGCAGCCTCTGCCATGGAGCCGCCACACTCAGGGGCACTGAAACAGCACCGGAGCTGGGGGAGCAGAGCAGGGGGGGGATCCTGCCCCTCTGCTGCGGGGAGGGGGGAGCTGAGAGCAACTCCAGGGCCTGAAGGGGCTGCAGGGAGCATGGAGAGGGGTTGGGATGAGGGAGGCAGGGATGGGAGGAGGAGGAAGAGGGAAGAGTTGATGGGAGCTTGGGGAGTTCTTCCCCATGGAAGGGGTTGAAGGGAGAGGTTTGGGATGCTCCATCCCTGGCAGTGCTCAAGGGCAGCTTGGACACAGGGGCTCGGAGCACCCTGCTCCAGGGGAGGGGGTCCCTGCCCTGGCAGGGGTGGAACTGGAGGAGCTTTGAGGTCCCTTCCACCCAACCCAACCCATTCCATGGCTCGGCATCGGATCCACCTCGGGACACCAGAGCCCGGGAGCTGGGATCACCACTGCGGGACTCAGCCACGGGCAGAAGCAGGAGCAGGCCCAGCCCGGGCTGCTGCAGGGGAGCCTCGAGCCCCACAGCCCATGGGCAGGCTCCAGCCCCCCCCCCCAGCACCCAGCCCTCACCTGGGGGTGCAGGGTGCCCAGGAGGGGGTCGAGCTGCACATCCAGGCTGCGGCTGCCGATGTTGACGGAGGCCTCCAGGATCTGGCACAGGCTCTGCTCAGAGAGAGACCGAGGGGGGGGGGTCAGGAAATGGGCCCCAGGGGGGGCAGAGGGTGCTGAGCCCCATGGGACATCAGAGCGAGGGAGGGAGCATGAACCCGGCAGGGCGGCAGCAGGATCCGTCTGCCATGGGGGAGACAGTGGGGAAAGCTCAGAGCAGCCCCAGTGCCTGAAGGGGCTGCAGGGAGCCTTGGGACAAGGGAGGCAGGGATGGGAGGAGGAGGAAGAGGGAAGAGTTGAGGGGAGCTTGGGGAGTTCTTCCCCATGGAAGGGGTTGAAGGGAAAGGTTTGGGATGCTCCATCCCTGGCAGTGCTCGAGGGCAGCTTGGACACAGGGGCTCGGAGCACCCTGCTCCATCCAGGGGACGGGGTTGGAGCTGGAGCAGCTTCAAGCTCCCTTCATCCCAACCCATCCCATGACCCCATGAGACAGCAGCAGCCGGCTCCATCCTCCTCATCACTGGGCACAGGCACCCAAGGCTTGGGCTCAGCAGCACGAGGGCCCACGATGGAGGGAGGAGGAATCTCACATGGAAGAAGCAGCTGCAGCCTGGGCAGGGCCCGAGCTGCTGGGTACCAGCACAAAGGTAAGGACCAAATCTGCTTCGCTGCTCCTGCTTGCACCCACTGCTTGGGGGGGGGGGGAAGAGCCCTGCTTGGTGCCCCTCCTGCACCCCTGCAGCACAGCGCGCCCCACGGCAGCGGCTGCAGGGATGTGACCCCCGAGCTGCTCACCTTGGAGATGGAGAAAGCCTCCGTGTGCTTCCTGTAGAGCGCGAGGATGCCTGGGATGAGCTTGGGGAGCTGCTCCTCCAGCCTCTCGGCGGGCAGGAGGTGACTCATGGGTCCCAGCGCCTCCACCACGGCCAGCCTCAGCTGGGCGAGAGACCCGGCGTGAGCAGCGTGGTCCTGAGCCTGCGGGGGGCTCTGCAGCCCTGGAGCTGCGACGCTCCAAGGGCATCGTCCCGAGTGAGAACCGCGGCGCCCATCACCTTGGCCTCGCGGTGCTGCAGCCAGCTGCTGAAGAGCACCTCGTAGGCACTGAAGATCTCGTTGGAGAACGTGTCCTTCCTGACCGTGGGGTCCGGGGCCTTGTCCAGGTTCGCCAGGTACTCCTGGATGCTCTCACTGAAGTGCTGCAGAGCTGCGGGGAGAGCCCAACCGCGCACACTGGGTGCTGCAGCCGCACCAGCACCCCAAGGGATGCAGTGCTGCTGCCCGGCAGCATCCCAAGGGATGCGGTGCCGCTCCCCGGCAGCATCCCAAGGGATGCAGTGCTGCTCCCCGACAGCATCCCAAGGGATGCGGTGCTGCTCCCCAGCAGCATCCCAAGGGATGCAGTGCTCTCCCCGGCAGCATCCCAAGGGATGCAGTGCTGCTCCCCGGCAGCATCCCAAGGGATGCAGTGCTCTCCCCGGCAGCATCCCAAGGGATGCGGTGCTGCTCCCTGGAAGCACCCCAAGGGATGCAGTGCTGCTCCCCGGAAGCATCCCAAGGGATGCAGTGCTCTCCCCAGCAGCATCCCAAGGGATGCGGTGCTGCTCCCCGGCAGCATCCCAAGAGATGCAGTGCTGCTCCCCGGAAGCACCCCAAGGGATGCAGTGCTGCTCCCCGGCAGCATCCCAAGTGATGCAGTGCTGCTCCCTGGAAGCACCCCAAGGGATGCAGTGCTGCTCCCAGGCAGCATCCCAAGGGATGCAGTGCTGCTCCCCGGCAGCACCCCAAGGGATGCAGTGCTGCTGCCCGACAGCATCCCAAGGGATGCGGTGCTGCTCCCTGGAAGCATCCCAAGGGATGCAGTGCTGCTCCCCGGCAGCATCCCAAGGGATGCAGTGCTGCTCCCTGGAAGCACCCCAAGGGATGCAGTGCTGCTCCCTGGCAGCATCCCAAGGGATGGGGATAGGACAGGACCCTTCCCAGCAGGCACCCACAGCAGAGGGATGCCCTGCCCACAGAGCCAACTGCAGGCACCCAACCGCAGGGACCCCATGGGGCGCCCCACAGGAGCCTGTGTTTGCCCCACGGCTTAGTTCTGCCTGCGCTGAGCAGCGAGGGGGGCCAAGAACCACAGGCCTGGAGGCTGCATCCCAGCCATGGCAGCCCGAGCTCTGCTCCTCCTGAGGACCGGCCCCAGGACCAGAGCGTGGTCCTGCACAGGATGCTCCTGGCTCGGATGAGGGGCTCAGCCACAGAGTGCAGGGGCACCCATCTGCCACCTCCAGCCCCTGAGGACGGCTTTGCATGGCTCCAGGGGCTCTCCAGGGCTCTATGGGGCTCTCCAGGGCTTTATGGGGCTCTCCAGGGCTTTATGGGGCTCTCCAGGGCTTTATGGGGTTCTCCAGGGCTTTATGGTGTTCTCCAGGCCTTCCGGGGGCTCTCCAGGGCTTTATGGGGCTCTCCAGGCCTTCAGGGGGCTCTCCAGGGCTTTATGGGGCTCTCCAGGGCTTTATGGGGTTCTGCAGGGCTTTATGGGGCTCTCCAGGGCTTTATGGGGCTCTCCAGGGCTTTATGGGGCTCTCCAGGGCTTTATGGGGCTCTCCAGGGCTTCCTGGGGCTCTCCAGGGCTTTATGGGGCTCTCCAGGCTTTTGTCACATTCCCTGAAGCTTTGTGGGGTTCCTGGGGCAGCCAAGACATTGCGAAACAGCAGGAAAAGGTCAGAGCTGGAAGCACCCAAGGGCTGAAAACACCCCCGTGTTTTACTTCATAGAACCAGGGGATGGGTTGGGATGAAGGGAGCTTAAAGCTTCTCCAGACCCTGCCATGGGTAGGGACCCCTTCCCCTGGAGCAGGGTGCTCCGAGCCCCTGTGTCCAAGCTGCCCTTGAGCACTGCCAGGGATGGAGCATCCAAACCTCTCCCTTCAACCCCTGCATGGGGGAAGAACTCCCCAAGCTCCCATCAACTCTTCCCTCTTCCTCCTCCTCCCATCCCTGCCTCCCTTGTCCCAAGGCTCCCTGCAGCCCTTCAGGCACTGAGCTGCTCTCAGCTCTCCCTTCTCTGCTCCCAGCCTGGCTCCAGGGCAGAGCTGCTCCAGCCCCCCAGGACCCACTCCAAGGGCTCCAGGTCCCTCTGGTCCCCACTGCAGGAAGCAGA